GTTCAACATGTAAGAAGTAGAAAGTACAGGTATTTGTGTTCAACATGTAAGAAGTAGAAAGTACAGGTATTTGTGTTCAACATGTAAGAAGTAGAAAGTACAGGTATGTGTTCAACATGTAAGAAGTAGAAAGTACAGGTATTTGAGTTCAACATGTAAGAAGTAGAAAGTACAGGTATTTGGGTTCAACATGTAAGAAGTAGAAAGTACAGGTATTTGTGTTCAAAATGTGAGAAGTACAAAGTACAGGTATTTGTGTTCAACATGTAAGAAGTAGAAAGTACAGGTATTTGTGTTCAACATGTAAGAAGTAGAAAGTACAGGTATTTGTGTTCAACATGTAAGAAGTCAAAGTAAGAAATCTTCAGAAAAATAAGTAGTGGAGTAAAGTACTGATACCAGAAAGATGTATTTAAGTACAGTAACGAAGTATTTGTACTCCACTACTTCCCACCTCTGATAATCTATGCCAACGTCTGAGTTATCTTGTCAGGGCCATTACATCTGATATACAAAGGAAACTACTCTAGACAAGTTAAAAGAGCACACATATTAAAGAACATAGGACTTTTATTTTTGAAAACCCTGATTTATCCAAGAATGACCTTTTTTTAATCAAGCATGCTCTGACAGGGAGACATGCTCTTTTCAGAATCAACCTGTTTCACTTTCACACATGGGAGCCTCACAGTACTTTTACATGTCTCAACAGTTAGGTGCTTAAAAGCTTCCAGTAAAGCAACTACAAGTGAAGAGCTTTTTCTAAAGGGCACTTTGCCAGTAAATCTTAGTGAAGGCTGCACATTGCACGTTCTCCTTGTTTTTATCCACACGGTTCACTTTTCCTGCAGGTTCTGACATTTTAACTGCCAACCAGCTACTCACAAATGTGCTTTTCTAACCTTTTTCCAAGAGACTGTTTAATGTAATGGATTGCAGCATTTGCTGACAGAGAAAAACTCTTTAATGAGGGCATTTTATCTCATTCTGTTTAGCACCATTATCTTTAGTCAAATAAATCTAACCAAAATCCATTATTTACATTGCATTCTTACCATTAAGCCCATTAGACAAGTGCAATATAAATAATACTGATTTAAGCAAATGAGCAGCAAAGTGGGGAGGTGGAGGTAGACAGCGCTCCTTTGGGAACGTTAGTTTTTAGCAAGCAGGGCCTATTTAATTTTCGAGACAAGAAAAGGTTGTACCAAGTGGGAATCAGTGAAGAAGAGATGTCATACTGACAGCTGTCAATGTGAGAACACACACACCAAGCGTTTAAGTGGAACCCAATTAGTTTAACCTCTGTATGCCAAGGGTGTGAAGTTCATTTTCAGCCCGTTATATCCGGAAATTGATTGTTCGCATTGATTTCGGATGTCTAAGATTGTCAGAGTGTTTGTCAAGGGCTTAAAATGTGAACGCATATGCCTAATGTCAGCTTCATTTAGAAATATGAAGAAGAAGTGTCTCATATATTCTAGCCTCGTTGAAGGGCTTAGTAGCAGCAAATTGGATACAAAGTTTACAGCATTATTTTCTCTTTTGCTGTTTGTATAGGCCTTCTCGACCTTGCATGGTAAACAGATATTCCAAATGTTCCAAAGTGCCCATCAATCCCCATCAGCCGCCATATGCAGCTATGATAGCGATTAACCAATGGCTGCATCTAACCTGTGACTTTTCTTGTGTTTTCGACACATAAAAGTTCTCCTCCACACATCATCCGATGTCTGTGACAGAGAAATTATAGACAAAGTTCCACAACCTTTTCGAATTGTAATGAGTTCCAGATGGACACATTAATCTCCAATCAGAGGAAGCGCTGTGGAAAGTAGGAAGTGATTGCGCGGCTAAACCTGCCCGCGTGTTTACCTGCTGTTGTTCTTCTATTCAATCTGCCTGTTGATGAGCTAACTGGAGCCTGATTAATAGCCAGCAGATGTGACAAAGACTGGGGATAATGGCTCAGAACCTTAATGTGTCTACGTGTTTGTGCGCAACACACATTTCCTACATCATATACACTGAATTTAGAAAGTTAAAGAAGGCTATTTAAATGAAATTGAGGAGTGGATTAATCTGAATGGTTAATAGTCCACATCAATTACCTCACCCTATTTTTCAGTTGTCTCCATAACCTTACCCAACCCTAACCACAACAAGTTTTACTCATAGGGCTTGTAGTAAAGATTGTCCCCTCCATCTTCACATATTTGAGCATGCACAGATGCTACTTGCCATTTCTTTATCCATACTGAGACGTGTAGGTGTGTGGATCACATCAATATCAAACAGTAATTCCATTTTGATTGCAAGTTTCCTTTCTCATTACTCATCTGTGCTTATGTGACCAAGCTGACGGAGAGACAATTTCAAGTCATTACATCATCTGGTATAACACAGGAAAGCTCCGCGAGAGCACTAAAAATAGTATAGTTCACGTCGGTCTATGGGGACGACTGAAATAAACCAACAATGCAGCTCAGCCTTCATATCCCTCTCATGTTAAAGGTTACTATTGCCAATATAAATGGTTCCCAGTAGCCCTAAACTAAAGCTTCTTGTCTGTCTTCTTTAAAGGTCGAGGTTCAAAGTGGTGAGATACAGTTTGGGGGGGGCAGAATCGTATTGTCATATTGATATTCTGTACAAACTGTGAAGTCCACTGAGACAAATGTAACATTTGTGATATTGGGCTATATAAATAAACATTGATTGACATCTTGATTGAGAATATACTGTGTGTGTGTGTGTGTGTGTGTGTGTGTGTGTGTGTGTGTGTGTGTGTGTGTGTGTGTGTGTGTGTGTGTGTGTGTGTGTTTCTTCTTTATGTGGTCGGTAAGCTCAGTTTGTCATCATCGATCTACAGCCTTTACTGAATATGTAATTTGCTGGCTATTGGCCCATTGTATGTTTGCTACTACTCCTTGGTTGCTGCTTTCTCACATGTTAGCAAGTTTTAACTTCATATTTTTTCTTGCTTTAGTTAATTACATTGGCGGTCTTTGTAGCCAATGCAATTAACTATTACTAAGAAACATCATTTTATATGGAAGACTCAGTTTGACCTAAAAGGCTGATTTTGGCTTTGTAGGACAAACATATGGTGGACAACCTTAAAGGTGGGGTAGGTAAGAATAGAGAAACCGGATCGAGTGCGCTAGAATTTGAAAGTACGCAGCTGAAAAAAATCTGCCCCTTCCTTCAGACTTCCTTACCCCCCTATCCCCTCCTCCAACACACACGAACGCGCACATGACCAATGAGGGCACGAGATAAGTTTGTGCACAGATCCATCAGGCCATCCAGTTATTTTAGCCGGGCCGGCTCATTTGATTGGTTGTGCTTTTTTACAGTTACCACGGCTTTCCACAGATGAATTATTTTAATGTATTTATTGTCAAAGCATTTCATGTATTCATTGCTATCGGGATGTTAAGAGCATTCCATGGAAT